TTTTCATCAATAATATATTTCCCCCGAATAACATTTCATGATACTTAACTCATTGAAATTGTCCTATATTTGTCACATTAGCCCTGAATACCTGCTGTAATTGTTTCAATTTCATCAATAATCTTGTTCAGACGTATAATTATGGAGTGAGAACAGTTTTGATTTCAAGGCAATTTCAATGTTTGTGAAATACCTTAAGTTCACAGGATTCATTTGGGGTTGGCTGGTTGGCAGGCTGTTGTTTCAGCTGTATTCCAGCTGTATCATAGCGGTCTGTAAATAATCGAGTCTGGACCAGACAATCCAGTGACCAACATCATGAGCAACGATCTACACAATCGAGATATCTCAACCAAGACAGTGAGTCTGACCGCCTGATCCTGTTAGTCGCCTCACCGTCTACCTACCTTTAAGACAAAACCTGCATCAAATATTTAAATACTCAGTGATCTCTCTAAGCTAATGGATTTGTCAGTATGCTCAAACGAACACCTTCTAATAATTGGTGAGTTCAACATCCATGTAGGCAGACCTGAGGACATATACTTGTTGTACACTTTAGGTCTACAATCGTGTGTATTTCAAGCAATTCATAAATGCGGCCATACACTCGACCTTGGTAGCAATAAAACCTCCAGTGATATCGTGTCGTCTCTGAAAGTGGAAGACCACGCTGTATCAGATCCCATCGATGTGTTTTGTGATCAAGTCAGGCCTAAACTAGACACATAGGAAGACCATCGGTACAACATCCTTTAACGAAGACATCTTTGAAAACAGTGTCTTCAACCACTTAACAAATCTTGACCTATCATGTACACAGTTACAAAATTCTAACCACAGTTCATTATTGAGTAGAGCACACATCAAGTCTAAACCCTATAATAAGACTTTAACAGACGTACTTGACAAGCATGCCTCCACTTAAAAGCAAACATTATAGATGCTGCAGAGAGAGTAAATAGCTGAAAAAGATGGTCATTTTGGGCGGTTTTTTATATATATTTTTTATGACACACTTAGACTCTTGTTCAAACACCTGTGTGACCTAATTATGAAGATATGTGTGACCTCATTACACAGGCCACTGACCCTCATTACACTGGTGAACAACGGTCCAGAAACGAAGACCTCATTACACAATGTGTGACATCACACCACATTAGTTCTAGTAAAATCTTTCCTTCGGCAGCATTTGGAGAAACAACAAAACACAATAGAACGTGTATTGTGCAGTAGTGCATAAATTAGCTGTGACAACACAAATCTGTAGACATTTCTATCACAAATATATGATTCCTATATACAAAAATACTGATTGTCAGCTACTTCACGGTCAGTGAATTTCTATAGATGGTTGAACGGGTATTGGGATTTGTACAGCAATGTAGTTAATATATATATATTAAGTGTGACATTTCTTACACAAAGGTACATCGTTCTATATATAAAGGTGTCACATTACTTACACACGTACATCGTACTGTATATACAAGTGTCACGTTACTTACACACACGTTCATCGTACTGTGTATACAAGTGTCACATTACTTACACACACGTTCATCGTACTGTGTATACAAGTGTCACATTACTTACACACACGTTCATCGTACTGTGTATACAAGTGTCACATTACTTACACACACGTTCATCGTACTGTGTATACAAGTGTCACATTACTTACACTGTCACACATCGTACTGTATATACTATATGCAAGTGTCACGTTACTAACGCACGGTCAACCGAAGCACGCCATGTTACTTACTCATACATTCATCATAGAGTTATGCGTTACTTACACACGTTGATTATACGGTACATTCAAACGCCACGTGTAATGATACACTCACATAGCATAAACCATGCCTCGTTACTTTAACATATTACTGTAGTATGTTCTTAGATGTTACTTATATCATATACTTAACGTGTGGGGTGGCATATCTGTGTTAGGGGCAACACCCTCTGTGTATTTGAAGGGAATATGAACAGTGAGCGGTACACAGATATTCTCGAGGGACATTTATTTCCATCTACTCACGTGTTCTATGGAAATGTTTGGTTTTTCCAGCAGGACAACGACCCAAAACATCGTTCAAAGCATTCACAGGACTGGTTTCGGACCCACAATATGACATTATTTGATTGGCCAAGCTATAGCCCTGACCTAAATCCAATAGAAAATGTTTAGGGACTTATGAAGGAAAGTGTCATTAAGAAACATCTGACAAATATTGCTGAAATGAAAGAAGAGTTGGTCCGATATTGGGACAGCATGGACCGAGACTTTCTAACTTCTTTGATCAGTAGTATGCCCCGCCGCATTGAAGCCTGCATTGCTGCCCATGGTGACTTGACAAAATACTAACTGTTCACCTGTCTTTGAATCAGGAGTTATGTTCTGCTAATATTCACATTAATACCTGAGTAAGTAAAATTACAATCTTTAAATTCTCAATAATTTCTGGTTGTACTGTATGTTCAGGGTAAGGTTAATGTTCATCCTTTCTAGAATCTGCTTCACTAAGTTAGGTTTCCTACAGGAGGCTGGCCGTGACACGATCGTGGTGAATGATCTTCCAAAGACTCGATAGCACTTTCTGATGAATGTGGTTGCAGCTGGTTTAGATCGCGTGCAGGTGTGAGGAGACATTTTGGTACAGACAGCTACTGGCAACTCAGAGCTGATGAAGGGGGAGGGCCAAGCAATGAGGAAGAGAGAGTTGTTGATGTTTCAGTCTTCTCTGTACCAACGTATTGTCCTGGCAAAAGTCTGATAGCTCACGGGACATGTTATTGACTACATGATGGTTAGAGTCACAATGATGGCAAACCTATCTACTAGTTGCTTTAATCTAAACATTCGTCTTCCGTTTCTTCATGTGACTCTGGGAGGAAATGACTTTTACGGCTTTAGATGCCTCTTTTATACCTTGCTCCCGCTTTTCTTAAACCTTAGCCTGTTAGACCACTTGCTGGGTGGGGGTAACAAAGTCAATTTTAGGTTCTTTGCATCAACAAAAAATATCCTTATTCTTCTTTTCTTAAGTCATTCCAGATCATACAGTTCCAGAATTCTATCTACAGAGAACATACATGTTCTTTTACGACCTCTTATAACAGAATAATTGGGTTCAACTTGACCATTGGTTTGTAACATATAATATCAAGTCCATTTTAACGTGATGAAAACCAGGATGTTTGAGATCATAATACATTTGCTGGAGATACACTTACCACGGAATGGCTACCTAAACCTGGGTTGTTAAGACGGGTGTATTTAAACCAAAACTTCTGAGCTTTATCCAACAACCAGGCATTTTGGATGGCATCATCTCCATGATCAAACGAATGCTACAATAGACATGTAACTGGCGAAAGGACTCTTCCAAGTACCATCTGTAGTCCATAAGGGGTGAACTAATCTTCGTAACACCGCTAGATAGTTATTTCTATCATTTTAAAAATTTTCCTCAGGAAATGATGTCGTTCAAATCAAGTCATTGGTAATCTTCCCTTTAATATTCTATTGATGATAATATTGATGGCAAGAATCTGTTCTCTGATCATTTCTAAGTTGTCTTGTCGAATCTCCTCAATGACTGATACATTCACATGAACCTTCAAAACTCGTAATGTTTCAACACGTACCTAGCCATAATCCTAGACAACAAATTCTTACTCCTATTGTGGTAGGAATCTCAATGAGATTAGTATTTGAGCAAACCTATATTTATACATGAACAAAAGACTATACACAGACAACCAATGCAAATATACTCTCAATATTCACAAATAAAAATATGTCTGTATTTTATATCACTCACTTAACTACAAATGTAAATCCACATGATTACCCCAGTGGACAACATCTTTAAGAAGTATTCCCACCAGGCCAAATACACACAATCCGGAGACCATTTTTCATGTTCGACTCAGGGGTCATTATCTACTTCCCAATTCTTGAGAACGAGACCACATTGAAACTATTTGTAAGCGTCCCCTCTGATTAAGTACACAAATCCTGCCTGGGCCATTTAACTAGGAGTCTATTCTATCTGTACAGGCCAAGACTGAAAAGAATTTAACGGTTCTCGTTTGAGTTGTAATCAGATGAGGGTTACTGTCCATAGACAGGTCTTGGTGTCCACATACATCAGCTTCCAAGTCCAAATGACAACGAAGACCCTGTACCTCTGGCTTGTCGGTAGGATCAGGAGGGTCACGACACAACAATTGCATACCTTGTATCTCTCTGCATGCCTCCAAAGTTTTGCAGAAGAGAGTGTAAGCTTGGGGGCCACGTTTAGGCAAGATAGACAACGCAGTCACAAGAGGTGTGAGGTTTTCGGATAATTTCAGCCTTCATAAAGCACGTTAGGACTTTAAACTGGGCCAGTTTATCGACCACTTCTTCTACACGTTCTGTAGCTTTCACTAGTCAAAAGTGATTCTTCCTGAGAATATCACGATGAACTGCTTCCATTTTCTGTTTTCAAGGTAAACAAGCAGCAGAACCAGTAGAGCCAAGAGCTGAGAAAGATTTTCAAACACTGTTTTGGGACCTTATATTTACCCACCTGAGTCCAGAAATAGTAATTTGAGTCATAGTCTGAATATATCCTGTTACTATTCTAAAAATAGACTCTAACACGAGACCAGGTGTTGATGAGGTCATAAAAACAAAATTGCCGTCTTGTCGTGCTATTTACCCCTGGTTACAACATATATCCATAGAATTCTCCTCATTGATCATCACACCAGCTTCTAAATGCTGCTCAAAGAAGTCACAGCGAGATGTTGGTACATGTGGAAGAAAGTAGTTCTTCTTTTAATATGCTTAATATTTTAACACGGGCCTGTAAAGGGTGATGTTATTAACGAACGTGTGCCTTGGTGCAATTTAACTGCGGAGTTTAACACACCACTTCACATAACACTTGCCACAATTTGGGTCACATTCTTACAAACACAATCTTAAACTAAATACTCACAGTGTTAAAGGAAACTCTATCCTCGCTACGTTCTGCAATCACTCCAGTCCACAATCAACCTAACCACCCATATGAAAACTAGCGTGTGTATTGTAGTGCAGGCCTGGCACGATCTGAGAGGAAAACTTGTCAGTAGGGTATTTTCAATCGGTTTCAATACACAACTATACATGTCACTGGGGTCACCTAATCTGCATTTACATTGTGCTGTTATGTCACGGTGCAATACGTTGTGCAACAATGTGTCGACTGTTTGCTCAATGTGATATTCAGTGAGGAGAAAGTGGTGTTATATTTAGACATAGCAACTCCGCTAATCCGATAATGTGAAGCGTGATCCAGAAAGCTTATCATGGAAATGTCTTGACTTTTTCTTGGGTATATAAGGGGAGTCAGATATTGCCTTCCCATCGAATTACATCACATGCAACGAGATGACCAGCAGTATAAGTGAAGTTTTGTTGTGATTTGTATTGATCTGTGAACGTAGTCAATTCTAAAATGCAATTGTTAACAACATCACATCACAATACATTTAGACGCAATAGCTGACCCTGTGTGCTGTCTCGGTGAAGTTACAGAGTACCTCTTGCAGTAAGGATGCATATGAGACTTTAACAGTTCTTAATAATATTTCCACTTTAGTAATAGATTTACGTTGCTGAAATGATAACGCATCAAGGGTTACAACAGATGTAATTTTGAACGCAAAGTCAAGACTCCCAGTTCGTAGCAAGGACATATGTGAAAGTTTGACTAATACTGACAGAAATAGATGGGGTTTACATTAGTTTAAAAAATTATACGAGTGGGGGTTAATACCCCACGTTATGAATTATAAATACTAGAAATCAATTTTGTTCTATTTTGTAACACTTTGTTGGACAATGCAGGTGCTAAATCCATTCACTCTGTTTTGAACTAAGCTTCAGTGGATACCTGTACCATCCATAACTGTCTCATCACTAAGCGTCACAGTGAAGTGAAGTGAAAAGGGTTGCTGTCAAAATTATTGTTTTTGTCCATCTGCGTACTTCCGCTGCATGCCTGTGTCTGTTAGGCTGCAAGGGCATAAGGACAACGTGAACGTTTTACCATGGTTGTGAAAGGACAACAAACCTAGGCACAAGATATTAAAATATGTATTTCTGAATAAAGCAAAATAGGTCTGGTTACATTAATTCCGTTAAAACACGTCAAAATAAGATTTCATTATATTGTCTTGCAGATGAGTGATATTGAAAATATATTATTGCAAGTATTTCAGCTGCATTTACATTTGAGAAAGAACATATGTGACAGTGAATTATGGCAAATTAACAGGTGAATCGTTTCAGGTATAAAAGCAAACTTCAAGAGACATTGAACATTTCAATCCAAAACAGAAACAAAATAACAAAGGCCTAGTTTCTAAACACGAGCAAACAAAAATTGAAAATGCGTTGTGATAATTTTACAAGCTCATGCACTTAACACAAAACTCAGCTTACTTCTTGCACTAAGTCATAAAATCTCCAACTATTTACAGATCAGATAGGCATCAAGTAATGCGTCAAGTTCACTCCTAAATCCACCATGAAGAAATATTCGTTCGGGTTCTCAATGGGTCAAACTATCACCGACAAAACCTCTTTCACAACTCGCATAAACTATGTGTTGTCTGACTTTATCATTAGCCTGTGTCCACGAATCACTATCAAATACTGCGATATGGCTGAAATATTGCCGATGTGACGTTAAATGTTAACTCACTCACTCACTATCAAATACTGATGATAGGAGGTGTTTACGTGAAGGTGATCCCACCATTATAACCATTACAAAGGTACTCGTTCTCCTCAGCATCGCTTTTGTCACTGATGATGCCTGTATAAAGGTAAAGTTTGTGGACATCTTTGAAACAGGTACTATCCACAACCACACTGTAACCTACAGGCTATATACTATAAATCGACCTTGCACCCCCTTGAAAGTGGTAGTGAATGAGATTTCCTTCGATGTTACTGTTCACCGGACATCCGTTTCTCAGCTGGTGTTATATATTTCACATGAGTTGTCTGGTCACCGACACAGTTATCCCTCTCTAGGTGTGTGTACGACTGGTTGTCTTCTGAAGAACCATCTGAAGATACGTCACTGTGTGTTCCACTGCCGTCAGCTTCCTTAAGCAGTTCTGCCAACGGAGGAGTAACGTCATTCGATTCAGGCTCAGTGGAGTCACATTCTTGGTCCACATCTTCATCGCAAATTTCGTAATATCTATTTGACGGAGGTTGATACTCTACTGTGTAGATGTCTGCTTCATTGTTCCTGTAGATTAATTGAACAAGTTGTTGTAATTAGTTTCAAAATACCTAACAATATGAAAACATACTGGGTAAATAGTTGTACGGAACACTGGTGTTCATCATTCTGTACTGTCATACGTGATAATCCGATTCGGAATTCTTCTACTACTTTGCAACTCATGCTTGTCGTAAGAGGCAGATAACGAAGAGATATTGATTGGCTTGCAGACGTGGTTGATGCATGGCATCGCATTCCTACTGCGTAGCTCAGTGCTCATGACATCAACCACTAGATTATCTTCTCCAATCTGATTAATTGCAAACTGCCCTTATATAGCTGAGATATTCTTGAGTGTTACGTAACAAAAATTACATTGTTATTGTGTGCTTTATGCATCGGAGTTAGTTCTGTGTCCATTCTATGATATTATGAGAGACAGCCAACGCAAGTCTGCAAATCGATTCATGCCATCTTAGATCAGTTGACAAAGTGTTGCCTCTCAAGCAAATTTTCTCCAACTACATTGCCGTGTAAAAAGCAAACGGCATGAACGTAAAAGTAGAAATATCAATAATGTTATGAGCCGGGATAAGACACTTGCTCCACTCACCTTCTCTTTGACCAGTATCTTACAAAACACACAGCACACAGGATGCCAGTGAGAAACATCACTGCTGACAGGCCTATTGTCATGTACTTGATGTCGAGCTTCGGTTGAACACCTACAGAATAACAAAACATCAACATATGGCTTGTCATGTCCAGGGAATAGTGAGTGAGTGAGTGAGTTAAATTTTACGCCGCACTCAGCAATATTCCAGCTATATGGCGGCGGTCTGTAAATAATCGAGTCTGGATAGGACAATCCAGTGATCAACAGCATGAGCATCGAACTGCGCAATTGGGAACCGATGACATGTGTCAACCAAGTCAGCGAGCCTGACCTCCCGATCCTGTTAGTCGCCTCTTACGACAAGCGTGGGTTACTTAAGGCCAATTCTAACCCGGACCTTCACGCGGTGTCCTGGGAATAACAGACGTTACCACACAACATCAGTCAAAGTATGTGACGTTAAATTTTAACTCACTCACTCACTCAGTCAAAGTAAAAAGTCCATATTTAACACCACACAAGAACATATGTATTGCAATATATCACACGTACGAAAGCAGCGTTGTATTTTCTGAAACACTCTTGTTTGACGTATGCATGATTATGGACGAATAACTTCTTTGATTTCATTATATTATGTATAAAACATTTTTAGCAAGAAAACCTGATTAAAATGATTCTCTGATTATATTAAAGAGTATTATTACATGCTCACGCGGAAGACATACAAGGTAAGCATCTGTAAGACATCATTGTGGGCAGGTAGTTTAACATCTGCAGTCAGTATTATTTCATATTCATATGCAGCCGGATTGTTGTTTTCATAATAAAGAATTGTTTTCAGTAATTATGTGCTTAAATGTCTTACCTGAACATGTTCTGAGTTTAAGGCAGACCTCCAAAGGACAGTCTTTAGTACAGCTAGATGTGCATGTCTGGTCGGTATCATTACATCCTCTGACGCAGGTTCCATGTGTCCGACCACATACACCGTCAAGACAGACGTCACAGGAGATGTTACAAAATGTACCATAATATCCATTGATGCAACCTTTCACACAAGATCCGTTGTTCGGGTGACAAACATCATGGATGCAGTTTTCAAAGCAGGAGCAGTCAGTCCCAGCATACCCTGGTGCACAACCAGCTGCACACGACCCTGACTCAGTGCAGGACATATTTGCACACTTCCGGCTACATCGAGAGGAGCAGTTCTCACCATACCAACCATCATTACAACCATGGATACAGTCTCCAGTGTTGTTGTCACACTTGGGGATGCAATTGATGGATGTATTTTGGTCACACTCCAAGACAGAAACTGCAGTTTTGTTGGGCCCAGGACGACAGTTTTCACTGCACACCTTATCACACCAATGACCATAGAAGCCAGGTTTACAACCTCCGTCACATCCAGACAGACAAGATCCTGCACACTTCTCACATGACATCTCACAGTTCAGACCCCGGTATGGATCATGACAAACGTTACACACATCCCTGTAGACCTGTTACATGACTTACATCTCTCAGAGCAGTCCTTACAGTCAAGGCCATAGTAGGAGTCGACACATCCAGAAACACAGGATGTAGAACTGAGCCTGCAGTATCCTCCATCACATCCACCTTCACACACCGTACACTGCGTCCCAGGCTTGTGACATGGTATTGTGCAGCTTGTACCTCTGAAGCCTGGAACACATCCCTCCGTGCAATTTTCGACGCCCATCTCTGTGAGTTCACACACCTGATTTTACATCCGCTGTTGCACACTGACGTGCACTTCCTACCATAGTATCCAACCTCGCATGGTGCCGAGCAGTCTCCATTACTGTCACAGTCGGGGCAGTGCTGGTCATTGCCGCATGGTTTTGCTGAAAACAAAGAATAATACAATCAGTATTTAGATAGGTACGAGGCAAAAGATGAAGCGTAACATTGACACGATCAAGGTAGGACTGATGCGTTATGTTTGTATCCAGTGACTTGTTATAGGATGTATATTTCATGATACATAGAAAACTTCGTAATACATACACTCATATATTCTGTGAAAAGTGAATGAGGAAATTGCGTTGGTTAATAAGTAGTTCGTTAAACGTAAGTTAATTGCAGACATCCTGTGGACTCAATGGACAAATCACCAGGCATAAGACAGGAGAAATTACAATTACACAATATAGAATACAACTAGAATAACGACATCACACTCAAAACACACGTGGTGCCTTTTACTCAGTCAAATAATACTTCCTTCTAGTTGGTATTTCAAGTCGATATTTGCTCTTTCGGAAACAGTTGAACTACAACTAATATACTGAAGAAACAACAAAACATAGTAAACTTGCCTCGTGTAATCAGTACAGTGAGTGCTAAACACGGAATCGCCAAAGACGTCAGGAAGTATCTGAAATAGAAAACAAGGTATGCCCGTATTCCATATATGATCATAACAAACATATTTTGGTATTTAAACCTTCTACATTAAACCTACTCACTGGTGACGAGAGAGGAACATCTCCAGTGTGTGTGTATCCAGCTGACTGATGTAGCCTAATGTGTGACCACCAGTCGCGGGATCAGAGTTATATTGCCGGTTAACTGTAATCTTCCGTTTAAGGGGGAAGTATAAATTAACCATCCAAAGCATAATGCACGAAAGCTAATGAAAACAGTTTTACAATACCGTTTGCTTTTACACTAAAACATCAATATTATTCGACTTTGTTGTAGCAGGTTCAAAATGGACATCCGTGGCACACTCATTATTTGCCTCCATTATCATTACAGGTTGTAGTTACCTTATTTGTACTGGGAGATGTTATATACTAAGCAGCAAAAGAAACGTCAGTTTGGAATTTTCCTTTGCAGAAACGGATAACTGTAAACTCATTTAATGTTTTGACTGTGTTTTTTTAAACAACATCTCCAACTTTACCTGTGCAAAGACATTTCTTCCCAAACTCCGAATGGAACCCAAGAAATGGTCTCAAAAACACAACCTGTTCTCGGAGATGGTACTGTGTTCTCCATGTTTTTCATGCAACTCATGCTGCACGTACTGTTCACGAAGACCTATAAAAACACCTCCAAAACTTGTTGAAACATTCACATTACGACGTCAGCAGCGTGCCGCGACTGAGTTCTGATTAACCAGGCGCTAAGAAGGCTTGAAGCTGGACACACTGCACAAGCTTTTGCCAATCACTTCCTCAACGTTCAGACCATCTACAGGCTGCAGTAACGTTTCCGGGCCACCAACACCACAGATGATCGCCCTCGTCTTGGCAGACCAAGGGTGACCACAAGACGACAAGACCACCATGCTGTGCGACAGCATGTACAGAATCCTTTCAAGCAGGCATCCGAAACAGCACGCCAGACAGTGGAAACACACGGAAGACCAATCAGTACTGATACAGTACGCCGACGTCTTAACAGCGGGAACCTCCATTGCCGTAAACCTTACTGTGGACCTATCCTCACCCCTCGTCATCGGTGTGAACACCTATAGTTTGCCCTACAACACCAAAACTGGCGATACAGGCAATGGTGAACTGTTCTGTTCACAAATGAGAGTTGGTACTGCGTATCAACTGCAGATGGCAGAACAAAAATATGGCGACGACGTGGCCAGCGTTACTCAGACCAATGTGTTATGGACTCATGGGGAGGCGCAAGCATCATGGTATGGGATGGAATAGGCCCGAACGAGACAGTGGGTCTTGTGGTGTTCCAGAACCTTGGTCCAGGGAGAGGCGGCGGCATCACAGCGGTGCGCTACATCGACCAAGCTCTCAGACCACATGCCATACCACATTTCGCACGTCACCGGAACAACATTTTCCAGCTTAATAACGCCCGAGCCCATACTGCCAGAGCTACACGGGACTTCCTTCAGCAGAACGGTGTCAATATTATGCAGTGGCCAGCCCTTAGTCCTGATTTAAACCCAATTGAACATCTTTGGGATGAAATTCAGAGGAGACTGAATAATGATTCTTAGTAAAGTACAGATTCTAGTACTTTTGGGTTGAGTCCCATCCGTCTAGGCGTCTGACTTTGTGTGCTGGCGATTATGTGCCTGACTCTGAGGGTGTGGGTCCGAATCCCGGCTACCTGATTGGTCTAGAGACGGTCACGTGACCGTCGACAGAAAAGCATATTCACTTCAACCAAGGTCCGACCAAAACTCATAAACTTATTGACCTAAGTAACTAAAAATAGAAAACTTTATTGGTGTGTAGTGAAAATATAATTACTTTTCTTGACTAACTTCAACCAAGGTCCGACCAAAACTCATAAAATTATTGACTTAAGTTACTAAAAATTGATAACATTATTAGTGTGTAGTGAAAATATAATTACTTTTCTTGACTAAATGGACATGTTTTGGTTTTTAGAAGCTTATTGCGATAATTGCATAATAAAACAATTATGTACAGTGAATTTGGTCCATAATAACAGGTGTTGACCTCATCACCAGTCTATAATTGTATAACATTGACGACTTCATATACTCATGTCTAGAAAGGGCGATAACTGTATACAGTGTTATATTGACCATTTGAGACACTCAGCTCTAGTCAGGACTGACAGTGTATACAGTGTTATATTGACCACATGACACACTCAGCTCTAGTCAGGACTGCCAGTGTATACATTGCTATATTGACCACATGACAGACTCAGCTCTAGTCAGGACTGTCAGTGTATACAGTGTTATATTGACCACATGACAGACTCAGCTCTAGTCAGGACTGTCAGTTTATACAGTGTTATATTGACCACATGACAGACACAGCTATAGTCAGGACTGTCAGTGTATACAGTGTTATATTGACCACATTACACCTTCAGCTCTAGTAAGGACTGTCGGTGTATAGAGTATTATATTGACCATCTGATGCACTTAGCTCTAGTCAGGACTGTCAGTGTATACAGTTTTATATTGACCACTTCATGCACTTAGCTCTAGTCAGGACTGTCAGTGTATACCGTGTTACATATTGACCACTTGAGACAAACTCTAGTCAGGACTGTCAGTGTATACAGTGTTATATTGACCATTTGACACACTCAGCTCTAGTCAGGACTGTCAGTGTATACAGTATTATATTGACCACATGGCACAAACAGCTCTAGTCAGGGCTGTCAGTGTATACATTGTTATATTGACCACATGGCAAAACAGCTCTAGTCAGGGCTGTCAGTGTATACAGCGTCATACTTACCAAAAGATACCCTGAGCTCTAGTCAGGACTGTCAGTGTATACAGAGTTATATTGACCACATAACACACTTAGCTCTGGTCAGGACTGTCAGTGTATACAGTGTTATATATTTACCATTTGAGACAATCACCTCTAGTCAGGATTGTCAGTGTATACAGTGTTATATTGACCACATGACACACTCAGCTCTAGTCAGGACTGCCAGTGTATACATTGCTATATTGACCACATGACAGACTCAGCTCTAGTCAGGACTGTCAGTGTATACAGTGTTATATTGACCACATGACAGACTCAGCTCTAGTCAGGACTGTCAGTTTATACAGTGTTATATTGACCACATGACAGACACAGCTATAGTCAGGACAATCACCTCTAGTCAGGATTGTCAGTGTATACAGTGTTATATTGACCACATAACACACTTAGCTCTAGTCAGGACTGTCAGTGTATACCGTGTTACATATTGACCACTTGAGACAATCTAGTCAGGATTGTCAGTGTATACACTGTTATATTGATCACATTACACACTCAGCTCTAGTCAGGATTGTCAGTGTATACAGTGTTATATTGACGATTTAACATACTCAGCAGCTCTAGTCAGGACTGCCAGTGTATACATTGTAATATTAAACCCCATCACACAAACAGCTCTAGTCAGGGCTGTCATTGAATACAGTGTCATATTGACCACATGACAAACTCAGTTGTAGTCAGGACTCTCAGTGTATACAGCGTTATATTGACCACATGTCACACTCAGCTCTAGTAAGGATTGTGAGTGTATTCAGTGTTATATTGACCACATTACACCAACAGCTCTAGTCAGGACTGTCAGTGTATACAGTGTTACATATTGACCACTGGAGACAATCAGCTCTAGTCAGGACTGTCAGTGTATACAGTGTTATATTGACCACTTTGACACACTCAGCTCTAGTCAGGACTGCCAGTGTATACAGTGTTATATTATACCCCATGTCACAAACAGCACTAGTCAGGGCAGTCATGGTATACAGTGTTATATTGACCACATGAGATACTAAGCTGTAGTCAGGATTGTCAGTGTATACAGTGTTATATTGACCACGTGTCACACTCAGCTCTAGTCAGGACCGTCAGTGTATACAGTGTTATATTGACCACTTTACACACTCAGCTCTAGTCAGGACTGCCAGTGTATACATTGTTATATTATACCCCATGTCACAAACAGCACTAGTCAGGGCAGTCATGGTATACAGTGTTATATT